TTTTGTGGGCCCTTGGCTCCAAAAAAACTAATGACAGCAAAAGACCTGTCTGAACAACGCAACCAACTAAATCGTTCTATTGATTTTCTCCAAAATTGATATTCCCCAATCGATGTGTGATATTTTGAATTTGGAACCCATATTTTATTTTTTGGTGTTCTTCACATGAAGCTCCTAGGATATTTTCAAAAAATATGGCTCAAATGTTTTTGATTAAATTTTGTTGTTGGATAGCGCAAACATTTAAGAGAATGGTGCAGGTCTTGTGTTCGTTAAAAACTCTGATTTTTCAAAAATTGCAAAAATTCAAATTTTTTTCAGTGTCTTCCTACAACTACAATTTTGAAATAGATTTTTTTCCCCTGAATACAATATATTCCTTAAAGATAAATTTTAAAATAAGGTCATGTACAATTTCTCAAAATTTGAGTTCTTTGTGTGCAAGTATATTATGTTTTAGCACCACTGGTTTAAATTTAACAAAAATTATGATTTAGACTCTCCAAAAAAATTTGTCAGAACAATATTCATTTATGAGGATTGCAATTCTGTTTTTCTGACTATAAGTAATTTTTTGAAGCCTTCACAGTGTTCAACAATCTATGGGATCTAAGGTTAAGTTTTGGATAGAATTCAAATTATTCTAGTATTTCTGGACTATCAATTTGACACTTAATAATCTTATAAAAATAAGTAAGATTCATAATTTGTCTTTGAGTTGAAAGACAGTCAATCTTGAAATGTTCATATATTTCGTTGATTCTCATGTGATCTTGACAATCCTAGTACCTGACACATTAACAAACTTTTTTCTGAATATTTTCAATTCTTTCTACAAGAGTATCTGTGCATGGCGACCATTGTTGAGCAATATATGGGATAAAGGTAGACTATAGATGAATATAAGCGAATATACATGATTAAATTCCTTTCCAAATGAGTATAAATCTCAAGTCCTAGATGCTTTAGATGCTATACTGTCCACATGATTCGAGAACGTAAATTTATAGTCAACAATAACACCCAAGTCCTTTCCAAATGCAACTTCCGAGTTGATGCCAGTAAGGTAATATATTTCCGGTTCTCGTTGAAGAGACCAAGAGAAGATCACCATACACTAGCCAAGTCCATAGGCACTGAAATAGGAGAGTTACCTGGAAAATTGTACATATTGCTGGTTGCATTATTTTCTTAATAAAGTAAATGTCACTCCTTTCCTACCCACCTCTCTGGGGGTATCTTACACCTGATGTATTCTTTTTCCCCAATTGCAATTGCCCATTAATAAAGTACACGACACATAAGTTATGTTGAAATTACTTTTTTCCCTGCTTTGAAGAGTTAAGCTAGAAGACAAACACACCACATACATATACATCAATTTTTTGGTACAGGGTACCTTTATGAAGGAATGTTTTCGTGAAATGTGTCTGCTTACACAAATTTTTAAGAAATGAAAAATAGTAATCTGTAGCTTGCTTGGTTTTGGAAAAGTGCTTTAAAGCAAAGTTGTAGAAACTTTTATCCACTTAAAAATTTATCGGAATACTTTTTCTACACAACTTAAGGTTAAAGAGCTGTAGAGAAAAGAATGAAAAAAGTCAGAAAAAATACCGGTTTTCCAGGCCTCTTGAAGTAAGTACAAGGTCTGGATGGTTGAAAACTTGAGTTTTAAATAGTGCATGGGTACAGATAAAATACTCGAAGAAGAAGTTTTTATCACCTTCTTCCACTAAAATGTACATCCCAACTGGACTACATTTACCAAAATTCAGTTTTAGTTTATCGCTCAAACACCAACTGCTTAGCTCATCAATAGATCTTTCTGGAGACATCATTATCTTTGGTTATTTTTCTAAATATTTTAAAATCATCTGGGACTGCAAATAGTTTGATTTAAATTTATCACCTATGTCATTGATTAAAAAAATCATTATAAACATCTGTATTTGTTGAAAATATATTCTGCCCTAGGAGTACATACCCCATTTATTGGCAAAGCTTTCGATAGTCTCCCGAAGAAAATTAGTGCCTACAATGCAGTAGAATGATAAGCCAAATCACAAGATACAAACAATCTGAAGCATTAGGTATCTAAAATAGTTATGTTTTTACAAGGAAAGAGTGGTTCTCTTTGAGTAAATATGAAAATTGAGAAGTTATAAAGGATGTTCAGTCCAGCTACTTTTAATATCAATCTTTACTATATCATTAAAGAGACAAGAAAATAATGCAATATTTGCTGGCAAACAACATATTTTAAAATAAAATTTCATTTGCTAACACATTTTAACACTTAAGACAACCTCCAAAAAGCTTCCAATCAGCAGCAAAGGAAAACAAAAGCTATACCAGAGTAAACATTTTCCGTGATAGTAATTGGTGTTGAACAAGTGAATTACTTTATCTATACCTTGGTTGTGCTGCTTCAATTTAAAATGAATAAGAAAATTTAAAAACCTGAGGTACAATCCAAAAGATTGTAGAGAAAGGAAGAAAGATCTGGATAGACAGGGAATATAAGAAGCAGTCCAATAAGGATATGAATCAAAACTCCTGAAAATCTATCACACCAATACCATAAACTCTAATGACAAAGATGGAGAATGCAGAATCTCCAGGAACTGCAATCCATTCCTCTAATTCTTCAGTTCTCACTACATTTAGGTTAATTTTATTTCCAGTAATTTCATTTAAATCAGTTTGTTTTCTTTCTCACTCAAGCTGCATACCTTTAGCACTCCTTCATAATCCCTTAACGAAATGTTATTACAACCTTAGGCCACTAAGATCAGTAACAACACTTCCTACACCACACAAAAACACACGTAACAAATCCAAGAACAAATGACAATATATATTTTACCCATAACCCTTTAATCTTAGATTTCACAAACTATAATACCTGAAACCTCAGAAATAAAAATAAATAAAATATACTCTCTTCAAACTATCAATTTTTTCCCCTAATTTTAAAGTTTAAAACCAAAATTAAAAACACAAAAAGAGATTTTGGAAAGTCTTTCATTAAAACTGACAAAATTCCAAAACAAATATCCTTCAATTCTAGTTAAACTGCTCAGATATAAGCTACAAATTCATTTATGAAATGTATTTTAAAATCAACAACTGTCCCACTGCATTCAAACAATCTGCAATGATTTTTAGGAAATTTTTCAATGTTTAGGAGTGTAAATTTTTTGCTATCAAAAGATTAGCTATTAACTTTTAATAAAGTGCACTCATACTTACATTTGGGTCTTTTACCACCACTACCACCAGTTGTAGCAGCCCTCGATCTCTTAACGCCCTTTTTAACAGGCATAGTTGCTTCGTCTTCTTGAGTCTCCTATTGAAAAAATTTAATTTGCCATCAATTAAAACAGCTTCATTACATTCATTCCCACCCTTGAAACTCTTCAACACACTGTAAATGATTTTTCAAAAACTACAATGTCACATATTTAACATTAAAATTGTACAAGGACAATATTTATTTATTATTTGAAGGTTAATTATCCTTACATCTTAACAAGTTATATGACCCACAAAAAAAAATGTAATTTATGGTTTCTCACCACCTACACAAGTTTCCTTTGGGAATTCTTCTAACGGATAATTGCCCTAATGGGTTAAAAATTTTCTTGAAACTACAAATCAATGGAATAGAGAAAGCCGTATTAACTTTAACGAGATTTAAAAATAAACGCTACAGATACCCCCTGGAATGCTTCCCGTTTTCTTAAACATAACCTCAGTCATTGCACGCTCCAATTCCAAATAACAATAATATCTTAAACCAAGATTCCCTGTGACTCCTTAAAAGGACCTGATATGAAAACAAATCCGCAATCTAATTTGTTCACGTTACTTACCAGTTCAAAAATTACAACTGCCGGCACGTCTCCCCTTCCCCTACAGCTGCTGCACAGCTCAGGGCCCTTTAACTCCCATATAAACGTGGTGAAGACCATTACGGTGGCGCGCCTTGGTGCATCACCCTCTTTACAATGACTAAAACACGAAACTTGTTGCCAACGATTACTTAAAACGTGAGCTACTGGTGAGTTCGCGGTCGCAAGGCAGGCCCATAATGTTGCAAGAAGATAATCGTATATTCTCCTGTTCGGCGCATTTCTTCAAGAAGTTTTCTATAAGATAGATTTTTGAATAAAAGCTAGCATTTATAAGACCAAACTTTTTCGTATTCTCACAAATACCAAATTTGTTTGGCGACCTAACCTGCAGCTGCACCAGGCGACACTAGCGCTTCCTACAGTAGCAACCTCGAGCTTTGTCCCCAGTTTTGGTGGAGAGTTGCCGGGCCCTGGCACAGCTGGAGCCTAGAGCTTGCTGGGAACTTCCCAGTGGGAAGTTGGGTAATATACTCTCTGGTTGGGTATAACGGAATCTGTGACAAATTCCTTCACAGAGTAGGAAGTTGTGCAACTGGAGGTCGCGATCATAGTGGATATGATTGGGCTGCAGCGCATCGTATCCGACTTTGTAGCCAATTAGCATCAGGTGCTAATTCGCATCATATAATTAGCGGGAATTTTAAATGCTAAACTTATAATCAATTGAAACATTTTCAGCACTATTTTACTTTGAAAGGAAGCTGCATACTGCGATTATTAGGAGTATGAACAGGCAAGGAGAAACCACTGTTATTGCCGCAAGTCGAAGATAAAACTTGTGGTGCTACATATTGGCACAGGCTTTCCCGTATTAGTTTTCTATTTCCTTCGGTCTCGGCAAGCTATTCGGGCTTGCCTCATACTCTTGCCAACTACCATCTATCACCGCCCAAAGTACATTGTTTTGAAATTTTCTTAATTCTTCGGTTTTCTAATAGTAGAACGTAAATTTTAATTTAAGATTTTTAAAGAACAGTAAAACCTCGCTGTAAATGGAATTTTCTTTGAAAATTTGGAGCCCTTTATAAGAAAATGACGTATAAACGCTTCTGTAAATTCAAAATTTGAAGCTCCTTTCACAGAAAATTTTTGAGTTTTCGAAAAACATCATTAGAAGTCTTTTGAAACACTTTAACTCACAAACACAATAATATAACAAATTGCTGGAAATATGCATCTTAACCCTGGAGAAGTGGGGTTGCTGAAGTTATGTTAGAGGTGGCGCGAGGTCATTTCTGACCTCTTTATTTCTTAATAGTAGAATATTTTGCTACAAATAAATGTGAAATTAATTATTTTAATAATGATAAACCATTTGTAGTATTAACATAATTTACTATTATAAACAAGCATGCAATTGAATAATTTAAAAACATTAAAGAACAAAATTATCATTTATCTTTTATTTTATGTAGTGACTCCGATTTACATTTTCCTGAATATTTCAGCAACAAAGGTATCACAAAATTCAGTAAGTTTTTAATTTTCTAACATTGTCTCACACAAAAATAAGTATACAATTTATTGAAAATAGCATAGAACCAATCAACAAAACTTACAAAGAGCACAAAATATAAGATGTTTGTATTGGTGTTACAGATATTAATAGGTTAATAATTTTACCTAAAATTTGGAAACGAATATGTAACACATTTATTACACTTCACACTGAACTATGTATTTTTCTCAAAACATTACAGTTAACTTTACAAACTTGTTTTCTGCATTTAGCATAGATATCTTATGTTTTTTTCTCTGTGTTTCTAGGGTATTCATGTCTCTCTTTGTTTTTTTGTTTTTTTTTGAGTGTGAAATTAAATTTGGATTCATTCTGATAGCCCAATTGTGAGACATACTATAAATGCCTTACAATGATTTAATGTTAAGCAATATTATTTATGCCAGTCTAGTGGGTGTTTCGTAAAAATCATATGCATTCAAATTATTTATACTGAATCCTCACCAAATAGATAAGGAACACTCTGTTCTTTCCCCTAATGATTTTCATTCGGAACATTACACAAAAAGGTCAACCTTGAGACAATTTTAAAAAGTGTGAGAGAGGTGCCTATTTTATTGCAAAGTTGTTAAAGAACAGTTTCACGAGTTTCTGGATAAGGAAATGGTTAATTTTCTTTTATGTGGTTGGTAGCACCATTTATTTACCAGCTGATTTGTATCCATGCAAAGGCAGTGTAATCAGTCCAAGTTTGATAGTATTTATCTGAATTTCTGAATGTTCCAAGTTTAACATAGTACAATAATTACACAAGTTAAGTGTTTATTACAGGATTATAATTAACGTTTATTTAATTATTATACAAGTCAGAGTGTTAACAAATTATTTCAGATGTTCATAAAAAAATTATTTTTGTTAAAATAATAATTCTGAAACTAATATTGTCAATTAATGGCAGAAAACTTTTATAAGCAGGTCTCTTACATGCAGGAAGAAAATTCCCATGATTTATGTTGGGACTCTATATAATCCTAAAACGTATATAAATTTGTTACAAAACATACATTGTTAATCTTAATTTCCCCACATCTGCTTTTTGAGAAAACGTGAATCAACATTGCGACTACAAAATTATGAATAACCTTACTGCATAGCTGGTTTTCGTCAATGAACTAAAAAGTATATTGAATCACATTAGAAATTTATTAAAATTTTCATCCAATTATTTCTCTCAACAATGCACAGTTTACAGCAATGTAATAATTTAGTTGTAAACACTTCATTGATGCAAAAAGAACCTTTACTAAACTCTTTGCAAGTCCACCAACAAGATCAACATACTAAAAAATTTAAGTAATATGAGATGCAAGTATAGGTCTTAGAATGAAAGGAAATGAAGGAAATAAAAAATTTACACTGAATTTACCAAGGCAACCCTTATTTCCATTAAACAACATAAATAACATGCAATGTATAGATTAAAAACACACAGCAAATAGCTACAGCAATTATTCATTTATCATATATTAATTAATTTATCCTTTTGTTTAAGACATTTAATACTTATGGGAAACTGAAAGGAACATTAACACCAGTCCCTACAAATAAATTTCACCATGACTAAGATTGACAATCTTTAGAAATTGTGGCATACATCAACAGTAATTTAATTACAATTCAAAAAAGGCTGTACATTCCTCACAATTTCTCTTCTTAAGCACACAAAATCCAACAGAAGATCGTTTTTTTATAATTCATACAATTGTTAACAGGCAATTATTGAAACTGCTAGTATAAAATTAACCGAATTTTATGTGCAACAAGACACTTAAAAGAACAACACAAATGTGCAGATAGCTCGAACTTTTAGTCAAGCACACAGAGAGAGCAGCTCAGTTCAGTGCAGTGGAGGTACGTACAGTGACGCCTCATTCATAGAAACTGTGTTGATCCTGCCCGGGTACAAAATTGAGGTCAACAGTAAAGAGCAGCTCAGTGGGAGTAAAGTACAAATAGACAGGCAAATACAATTTGCTCTAGCAGCAGCTTCAGCTCCGACTAGTCGCTGTTCAAATGAGTTTCCATGTGAGCAACATTCCAAACCCACAAACGTTTTTCCAAACTCTTCAAGTAAAAAGAGGTCATATGAGGTGAGCAAGTCAAAGCCTTACAACATGGCGAATCAAAATGGACCAATCTGGTTCTGATTTTCTGATATATATATATATATATAATATATATATATATATATATATTATATATATATTATACTATATATATATATATATATATATATATATATAAATATATATTATAATATATATATATATATATATATATATTATTTTTATCATCATTCAATTGATCACAAAATTTGGATTACCAGGACAATCCTTAAAGGGCACTCAGAGTTTCCTTTTGTACACAAAGTGCGGGAAGTGTATTACATGGAATGTAGATACCTGAAATAACATTCTGTGTCCTCTAAGTCCTAGACCTGTGGCTTAATGAAAAAAGGGGGGGTTTTTGGTGGTTTGTTGAATTCAGGAACGTTATAAACATCCTTTCAGATCTTAAAAACGTTTCTACAATATCATTTCTACTTCTTCTCTGTTCTAATGTTAAAAGAGAACATTTCTTTCTCTGCATCTTCCTTCATAATCAAGTGAACGTAGTTCTCTAGGGATCTTGGTAATCCTGCCCTTTTGTACTTTTTCAATACGTTTTTATCTTTCTGTTAATAGGGGGAGCAAAACACATTAGCATACTCTAGTATAGGTCTGATATAATGCTGTGTAGATCAGTTTCACCATAAGATGCGTAATGCAGAGAATTGTCCTTTCTAAATCAGGTATGTAGCTTATTGGCTTTTTTTAGTTATACGGGTAAACACTTGGTTATCCCTTACACGATTTTGAGTATAATAAAGCGCCAAGATCATTTTGGTTCTTGTCGTAGAGTTGAGGAATGTTGGATTTCAAGAGTATAATCAATATTTGGGTTATTACTTCCTACATGAAGGACAGTGCATTTATCAGAATTCAAAGTATAAACCAGCGACTCCGACCATCTCACCACTTTGTGGAGGTCATTTTTGTAACGTCTGATGTTTATTAATGGATTAGAGAAAATTGAACCTTTTGGGTACACCACTTGTAACAGCAAACGAGGTTCTCGACAGTGTAATTTCCATGTACCTGGAATGTTCCTGCCTGATAAATATTCCTTGGATCCACTGCAATTAGCTTGCCATCGTATACGCCAAAAGACGAGAGTTTGTGTAATGAGGCGTTGATGTGGTACTTTATCGAAAGCTTTTAGCATTAACCAGATATATGAATGTCGACTGGTCGTTTCTGGGTCCAATTCTTTGGTCCATCAATATCTAGGACTGAAAGTAAATTTGTAGACGTTGATCTTCCTGGGATGAAACCGTGCTTGTTGTTTGGGGGATGATATCTATTTCCAATGCATGATCCTTAGAAGCCGCGTCGGACATTACCCTTTCATGACTTGCACACTGTGCTTGTCCAGACTTATTGGTCTGTAGCTTTTGTGTAACTTTTTTATCTCCTTTCTGAAAACCGGGTGTGATAACAGCTTTTTTCCAT